TATAACTTCTAGAAGAAAATGCAAAAAAAATTTTCCTGACTTTGGGATATGCAAATACTTCTTAGGATACAAAAAGCACAAGCCATAGAAAAAAGCTGATAAGTTGGTTAACCAACATCACTGTTAACCACAACTAAATAGCACTTACTTGCCCAGTAGAAAATCAACTTAGAAGACTGACATTCAAGAAAATGAAACCTGGCCTATACAATTATCAATAAGTATTTGAAGCAACTGGCACTGTCATATATTGCTGGTGGGAATGCACAATAGTGCAACCACTTTGAAAAACAATTCGGCAGTTTCTCACAAAGTTAAAAAATAGCCAACATTATACCAAGAAATTCCACTTGTAGATTCTTATTTGACAATCTATCTTCATACAAACCTAGCAGCTTTATGCAAAATAGCCAAAACTGAAGACAACTCAAATGATGAATAGATGAATGAACAATGTATGATAGATATAGCTATAAAAGGGAATAAATAATTGATACATGCAAGAACATGGAATATCTCAAAAACAGAATGAGGGAAAGAAGTCAAACACAAAATAATAAAAATTGTATGATTACACTTACAAAATCCTCTAGTTACAGAGAGCAGATCAGTAGGTGGCTGGGGTGAAGGCAGGGTTACTAACTGCAAAGAAGCATAAGGTGTATTTTAGAGTGGTGAAATAAGTCATCTCTTGATTAATGCAGTGGTTACCGTAGGAAGCAAAGTCCTCCTTGGGCCTCATGCATTCCCCTGCAGGGCTCAGTGTGCCAAGACTACAAGGCCCTGAGCAACCCTTCCTAAACCTTTGCTATTATGTATTTGGTAACCTTGAAAGATGAGGCAGTCTCCCCGCTAAACAAACAGCTGATTTGCTTTCGGCTTTCTATAAAAGCAGTGGATTCCCCCAAATTCAGTGTTCTTCAGCTGTGAAACACACACACTGAAAAAAGCATCCATAGTGCTAATGTATCATCCTTGTGGAATTTGGAAGGAAGGGGAACTTAAGAAAATATGGTGATTCTTATGTTGTTTGCTGTGCTGTAATACATTCCTTATCTCCAACCCAGGAAATCTCCCACTTCGGTCAGCATCTAGTAATAACAGTAACAGGCTAGCTTTTAACTTGCAAGTAGAGAAAAATCAAATCTCAGACCAGAAATATGAGTTAAAATTCAAACTACTCACCTAAAATGGGTACACTTTACTAAGGAGGAGGGAGAAGAAACAGACAAGGAAGAAAATGAGGGAGAAGAAAAAAGAGGTAGGGAAGAGGAGATTAGGACATCAGAAATTCCTTAGTATGTAAGAGAAGGAATCCAGACTTATGAATGACCGGAATCATAAAGTGTATTTATCCTATCTGACCCCCTCACCCCACCCCAACAAACTATGTTCTGAGAAGGACTTCACTAAGGAATTGAGAAGAATATTGGTGAGGGAGGCACTAATATGGGGATAGGGTGGGGGGTAGCTGTTCTTTGTAGTTCTGGGTAAAGATGAGCAAAACTGCCACTAAAAAGGGCTCTCTGATTTCAATGGGATAGTTCAATTTCCATAATGACAAAAGATAAGTAGAAATAACTCCCAGATTATAAAGTAAGCATGATTATTTTAATGAGTAGCAGGGTCAAGAGTGATTATCAGGATGGCTTGGATCTCTAGTGGCAGCTAATTATGGTGTCTTTAAAAAAAAATAAGCAGGCAGTATACCAAGATGTTACTTGATCTGTATAATGAGAGCTGGATACTCTTTAAGTATAACAAAGGTCTCACTTGAGTGACCACAATGGAGAGCCATGAGAAATCTCACCTAATACCCAGATTGAACCTGTTCAGACATAGAACCCCTGGAACAAAGGAGAGAATGAATTCCAAAACTGCTTCAAGAACATACCTAAGCCTTCCTTCTAGCCTGTTCCAGTGGAACACATGGCTATCTGTTAGAGAGACAGTGCAGTTGGGAATGGAAATCACTCAGATTTTTCAAGGATTACAGAACACTGGCTCTAAGCCCATACTAACCCTCAGGGACCAGCATGTCACTATAGTAAACCAGTAAGATCAGGGACTTATGGACATCACAAGATAAATGGCATTTTGGCTTCAATCCATCTCATGAGGGGCCCAATGGATCCAAGGTTCCACCCTATAATTTCCTCAGTTCCTGAACACACAGGTTAACTGCTCCCTGGAGGTAGGGCTATAGTCGAGGAAGGGCCAATGACCCAATGTGTGCCCCATCCTGTGAAAACTAACAAACCCCACAGTGACAAACAGTACATCTGTGTGGGAACAATAGAGAATACTACCAACTTCAAAGACTTGATGGTGATTGTTATGACATTCCAATTTCACCAGTCTATCTGGCCTGAGCAGGAGATAAATCTTGGAGAATGACTATATTATGGTAAATCACACCTAGTAGTGACTTCAATTGCAGTTGCTCTTCCAGATATGGCCTGATCACTGAGAGAAACCAACCATCCCCAGCACTCAGTGTATATTCATCAAGTTTCCTATTTCAAAAAAACACCAACAATTGTTTTCTCCATCACCGTTTTGGTTCAGGACCACATCAACAACACTTGGGCTATTTTTCACTATCTGGTCCACAGAGACTTTGAACATCTCATAAGCACACAAGTCCACTAAAACTGTCAGTCTACCCACAGGTATGAGTTTTCATGTATCCCCATGTCCCCACCTACACTAGCACTACCCAGCTTTTTAATATTTGTCAATCTAATAGGTGAAAAAAAGACATTCCATTACTGTTTTAATTTGCATGTCTCAGATCAGTAATACCTTCATCCCTTCTTATTCTTAAGATGTTCTATTTTGTAAACTACTTACCGATATGCTTTGCCTACTTTTTAGATGTAGCTGCCCTCTTACTATTGATGTACAGTTCTTTAATCTAGTCAAATCCCTTACCAATTTTAGGCTCTTTAAATATCTTCTCTCATTCTTTCATCTGTCTTTTAATAAATGAAAATTCTTAATGTTTGTACAACCAAAGCCACTGATTTTTCATCTGTGTAAGCTTTTGAATCTTTAAGAAGTCCTCCCCTGTCCCTATGGAAAGAGCTTCTTCAACGGTTCCTCTTAACTTTGTAGTTCTTTCCACATTTGGGTCTTTAATTCATTCAGAGTCCATCCTATTTATGTTGTCATTTGGTTTTTTATCTATATACTGAGCCATTCAAAAACCTATGACTTCTTTAACTAGTGATTTATAATGCCACCGTTATCTTAAGTTCCCAAATATAAATAGGTAATTCTCTGCTCTCTAATTTGTTCCCTGGGTCTATATTTCTGTTCTTACACTTAACACCAGTTGTTATTACTATAGCTCTGAAATATTATCTTAACTTCTGATAACACAAGCCCACCCAACAAAACAAATCTTTAAGACTGATTTAGTTATTTACAATCTTTATTCCATCTACCATGTAAATTTGAGGTTTTAGGTAACCGAGTTTGTCAAACCAAATATTTTGAAAGCACTTAAACTGAATCTCTAAATTAAATTGGAGAGAACTGACATTCTTATAATATCCAATTTGACCCAAGAACATGGAAACTTATACAATCTATTTAGACCCTCCTCTAATTCCTAATTAAAGTTTTTCCTTAAATATCTCATGTATTGAGTTACTTCCTAGAGACTTTAGAAGGACTGTTGATCATCATCACCCTACAAAAATAGCATTTACACAAACTAGTAAAGGTAGTCAGAAGTAGATATATACAAGAGTAATAACAAAACTATAAACTCCTACTAGTTCTGTTTCTCTAATTTAATGGTTTTTCTTGGTAACTGATTAAATTATCTGCAAGTTATTGGTTTTATCACTTCCCTTCCAGACTTTATACTTTTTCTCTTAAGTATTAGCCGGGACTTTCCTACCATGTTGAAATTGTGACAGGGAACATCCTTAATTTGTCTTAAAGTAAACATATCTAATTTTTTTCCATTAACTATTATATATGTACCCTACGTTTTTGGTAATGACTTTTATCTAGTTACCTTGTACTTCCAGCTTGCTAAGAGTTTTTATCATAAATAGGTGCTGGATTTTATCAAATGATTTTTATGGCATCAAGTGGTTTTATGGAAAAAAATCATGGTTTTTCTTCTTTGTCTACTAATGAGATAAACTACATTAATAGATTAACATTACAGATGTTAATCTTTCACTAAAGCAGTGTCTTGAAGGCAAATAACTAAGATTTTGTGCTCTTATAAGAATTTTTTTGTTTAAGGTTGTGACTACATATGTGCATCAAAGCAAATATTTTCTCTGCACAGCTAAGTGGACAATTAATGGTACTGCTTGATAAAATTAGTAACTAGAAATGAAATCTCCAGTTGCTTTACCAGATGCCATTAAAACTTGCAGTCATTAACAGGAGAGAAAACCTGGCTGTGATGCTCACATTCATTTTCTTCACCACCACCAGCACGAGGAGCACTACCACCACCGAGGCGGGGGCAGGGGACACTCAAACCAAAGCACTTTCTTTCCCTACCTATGAAGCATACATCCTGGTTGGGGTCAGTTCTGGATTACAAAACAGACTTTTGGTCTTAAATCTTTCTGCCTGCAACTGAGTGTTAAGGCTGATCACTAACATAACAAAGTTCAACATGCAACAAACTTTTGCGTTTGGACACATGCTGAATTGCTTAGTTTTATGAGCAACGGCTCTGGAAAGTGATTTTATACACTAGCTTCAAAACGGATGTCGCCCCTCCCACTGCATTAGGAAGCAACTCACAACATTTCCCTAGCAGGAGGCAAAGAGTACAGAGAAGTGGAAGAATGCGGTGTAGATATAGGACAACTTTCGATCCCTAACTTGTTCAACGTACACAGATGGGCTAAAAGCACAGCAACACGAGTTGCCAGATTTCTTTTTTCTCTCTGGCTGCAGAAAGGACTGAAAGCCTCTTCTAACGAAACTCAGGCAGGCTTATTTTCCCCTCACCTCGAAGGGCGAAACTTTAAGAGGGTACAGATGAGAAAAGAGCTTGCTAATGCTGACAGACCGCCAGTGGCGATAAGGATGGCGTCCGTGGCAGAACTTGGGGTGGCGTACGTACCAGGCTGCTTCCCTAGGCCAGGTAACACAAGAAGCCAGGCCCGCTCAGGCGCTGGCCGCAGGCACAGCCGAGGGGGAGGGGGCGGGAGGGGGGGAGAGGAGACCCAGGCCTGGAACAAAGGAAGCGGGGCTGCTCCAGGAGGGGGGTGGATTCGGCGTCCGGGTGGGGAGGAGAGAAGCCGAGCTGCCGGGGAAAGGCTGGACTCACAGAACTTGGAGGTGGAGGTGTTGATGTTGATGGTGGAGCCCGGGGTGGGGGCGGGGGCCGCCTTGGCCACGGCGGCCGCGTCGCAGCTCTTCAGCATCATGATCACCCCATTGGCCTCCGGCCCCAGCGGGAGCCCCTCCTTGGGGCCTTTCCTGTCCACGGAGACGGCGGGCACGGCCAGCAGCTGGCCCCCCGGAGGCTCTCGAGCGGGGACTGGCATCGACGAGGGGGGCGGCGGGGGGGGCGGGGGCTGCCGGAAGCCGTCCACGGCGGCCTCCCAGTTGTTATGGTTCTGGTCGTCCATCATCGCCTCGTAGATTAGTACCTCTTCCTCCTCCATGCTCTCCTCCATCCTGCTGTCCCCCAGCACCCGTCCGCCTCACAGGCACCTGCCGCCCGCCTCAACCCCCGGGCCAGGGGGCACCGTAGGCTCCTCCAGCTCACATCGCCGGGGACCGGAACGGGGAAACCACAGCTGGAAGAGCAGTGCCACACCGGGTCTCCCGCTCTGCTCCGGGCCGACGCTCCTAGAGACACAGCTGACGGCGGTGGGCGCTCCGGGGCTGTACTTCAGGGAGAGGCAGCCGTAAAGCGGCAGCGCCACACACGCCATTTTACGGCAGCTTCCAACAGGCGGTTGGAAAGAGCGCTGGGGGAGCGGCCAGAAGGGCACGTGGTGCAAGTGAAGAGCCTTGGAGAAAGCAGAGCGAAAAGGGGCGGGAGCTGAGTCTATCCCACGCAATAGGTGAAGGTTCGCCCCGCCTCGGCGGGGCTCTGAGAGGGGTGGGGCGACGGGTGCCGGTGAGCCTCGCCGACCCCGCCCCGGGGCCGGCCTCACGTGATAAGGGAGTTTGGCCCGCGCATGCGCGGTCGCAGTCTGGTTACCAGGACGACCAGGATCCGAAAGGCATTGGAAGACTAGAGCCAAGCCGACGTCTTTGCGGTAGCCCGAGTGCTTGGCGGTTTTCCTACGCCCACTTGCGTCTCCCAGACCTTAGTACCTTGGAGTGCCTCGCAGCCGCGGCCTTAGTGGAGACAGTGGTGTGAGGCCACGAGAAGCTTCAGGGTGCAGGTTATGAACGTGTCGGACGGCTTGTGCGGACTGCTCACGGATCATTCCTCAACCTTGGAGACCCAAAAGCGAGAATGAAAACCGAATCACTGCAGGGAGGCGAGAAAATTAATGCGTTCGAGATATTGATGCGTTTTGGTGTTGCTGCCAGGGATTGAACTCGGCTGAGCCGCTCCCTCGCCCCGTGGGTGTGTCGTCCGGTTCTTTAACTCTTCTGCGCTGCGGACGCATTTTTTTTTAACGCCAAACTTCCTGCACTGCTCCACAAAACTGTCACCTGGAGGTGTGTCTTGAGGCCCACGGACGAAAATTACGTGATTCTAATTTCTTTCATTGCTCACAGTAAAATTGCATTCTCAAAATTATAGCAATAGTGGTAGTAATTGAGAATATGTTTTATACTTTTTTTTTCCTTGTGGAGCTTAGTCTAGCCACTGATGGAATAAGGACGTTGTCTAGGAAAACCCTATTTAGTAGATAATGAGTCTACTTCCACAAGATAAGTTATTAGTGTCAAAGAACTGCTTCAGCAAGTTGTTACTTATGATGTATTTAAGTATCTACTTTCATTTCAGTTTCCCTATGAATATTTCCCCACTTTGTTCTGAACTATGCTTAATGGAACTTTTTTAATATTATTTTTAGTTGTACACAGTACCTTTATTTATTTTTATGTGGTGCTGAGGATCCAACCCAGGTCCTCGCGGGTACTAGGCGAGCGCTGTACCTCTGAGCCACAACCCCAGCCCCTAATGGAATTTTTTTACCAATCATTTTGGAATGGTTTAATTTAAGACAATGATTTTTTTTTTTGTACCGGGGTTTGAACTCAGGGGCACTCAACCGCTGAGCCACATCTTCAGCCCTATTTTGTATTTTATTTAGAGACAGTGTCTCACTGAGTCACTTAGCGCCTCGGTTTTGCTGAAGCTGACTTTGAACTTGCCATCCTCCAGCCTCCGTCATGTGAGCCCCTGGGATTACAGGCGTGTGCCAGCACGCGCCCAGCGACTTTTTTCTTTTTTCAGCTGCATATGTTTTAATTCTCTGACCTTGGATCATTTGGGAATTTTTTTTTTAAATTAAGTAGAAGAGAGTTAAATGAAATAATAAGAAAACATAAACTTAGAATCACAGACCCAATGTTTTAAAAATGGAAAAAGAAGCTAAATCATATCTTTTTAAGATAAACAACTCATAGTTTTGTCATCAATAGACTCTTTCTGGATAGATGATGGGTGGAGTGGTCCAAAGATAGAGTTCCAATACACAGATAAGATATAAAAAATCCAATGCACAGGGAAGATATGAACATTATATCTCTCATATCACAGCAACAAAATATACAAAGCAAAAATTTGACATAAGTACAAGAAAAAAGAAAAACCTGCTATCAGAGTAGGTGATTTTATACATATATCTAAGATTGCAGCAGGTTGAAAATAGCCCCACAAAAGATGGTTCCATGTCTTGATCCCTGGAACTTGTGAATGTGAGCATATTGGGGAAAAGAGTTTTTGCAAATGTAATTAAGTCCTTGATACGTGGAAATCATCCTGGATTATCCCAGTGGGCCATAAAACCAATAAAAATGGTCCTTAAAAGAAAAAGGCAGAGGGAGATTTGTTAGGTATACAAAACATGGGAAAGAGGAGGCAGTAATGGGACGCAAAAGCAGGGATTGGAGTAATGTAGCCACAAGTCAAGGAATGTCAACAGCCACTCAAAGCTTAAACAGGCAAAGAATGAATTCTCTAGACCCTCCTGAGGGAGTGCAAACCTGCCAACACCTTAATTTCAATTTTAAAGTGTATTATACTTCAATAGTTTTTGACTTAAAAATCTAGCTTCTAGAACTGCAAGAGAATACATTTCTTCTGTTTTAAGCCATCTGTTTGTAGTAACTTCTTACAAAAACCACAGGAAACTAATACATAGGTCAAAAGGACCAAAAAAAAATTTTTAAAGGACTAGGAGAATTAATAACATGAATTACGAAGCTGAATGTAGTGGTTATGTATAGAATATTGCCTAAAAACTATAGAATACACATTCCTTCCAAGAATATATGACATATTTTCAAAAGTCAAACATACTGGGTCCTAAAGCAAGTCTCCATCTAAGAATTGCTATAGCAACTGCAATCTCTGACCAGTCTGCAGTTAAATTAGATGCCAATAACCAAAAGACAACTAGTAAGTCCCCACATTTCTGTTCTTCCTGTGAACTCACGGGTCAGAAAAAAACAATGAGAATTTGAAAACATTCAAAACTGTAGGGATTGGCATAACAATATAACTTTCATCCTAATAAAGCTCTGTTCCAGGAATTTTCATGAACGCTGATGAATACTGAACCCATTATGTGTGTACTTTCAAGATAATCAATATAAGACATCTATTTTAAAGTGTATTGTACTTCAATCGTTTTTGACTTAAAATCTTTGATGATTTGTTCCTGGGTGTGGAGTTAGGATATATCATTATTAGCAACACTGACAGTGGATACAGTTAAAATGACAACCTTCCACATTCCCAGATATTCATCTATTGAATTTTTATTTGTTTCTATTTCCTACTAGGTTGTGAGTTTCTTTAAAATTATACATGTAAATTATACTTGTAAAGTTTGATACAAAAAGAAGACTAGTTTAAAACATCGGTAATAGTTTTCAAGAGATAATGGAATTTGCATGGTTTTGTTCAATGTTTTCTTTGTTCTCTACAATGAGCTTGATTATTTTTATTATCAAACATACCAAACCTTAAAGTTTAAAAATAAAAATAACATTAAGGAAATATAAATTGGGATATCATAGGTTAAAATGCTTTGGCTTTCAGAAACAGAACTCCCAAGTAAAAATTGCTCAAAACTCAAAATATTCATGGTTAACAGACCCATGGGGTCTAGGCAAGAAGAGGTGAGGTACAGTTCAGCCAGGCCTCTAGTTCTGCCCTCTGCCATGTTTTTCATACCCCTTCCCAGGCTTCATCTCAGAGTGTCAGGAAAACAGCCGCCTCAACCAGGCCTCATTAAATGTGGATAACAAAGTCAAGATGAAGAACACCCATGAATTCTGGTTGCTCTCTATCAGCAAATTATTTTTTCCCAGAAGCCCTCAGCAAACTTCCTCTCAGTGTCTCATTGTCTCATTCCTGAGCCAATTACCTGACACTTGGGCCAGGATTCCAGGACCTTGTACTAGAAAGAGCATGGAGTTACTCTGGAAAATAGGCCCACCCTTGGAACTCAGAGCAGGATCAGTTTCTCCTTTAGTACATTGGCAGAGAGGGAAGGGACAGATAACAGGAACAAATATTGGGGTCAATTTGGGAGGTTTCAATGGGTGTCAGGCAGCCAACAATGCCCATTACAGGCCCAAGTACCTAATCCCCTGGAACCATCCATGACCTAACCTTGTCCCAGCCTTTCCACTTACCTCCCACTTAATGCCCCCTAATCAATAGAGTTGTGCAGAATTGTGCATATACTGATTAGAATCAAAAAAAAGACTGGGGTTGTGGCTCAGTGGTAGAGCGCTCGCCTAGCACATGTGAGGCCCTGGGTTCCATCCTCAGCACCGCATAAAAATAAAGATATTGTGTCCAACTAAAAAATATTTAATAAAAAAGAAAAAGACATGCTTATTTAATTACCAAATTCATATGTGACTAATTATCTAAAATAAATTTAAGACTTAGGAATATGGAGACTTTATCACTAAGAATTAGTATTTGTATGACTTTAAATACGTTAATGTCACTTTTCCACAGAGTATTTCATCACAATTATTCAGTATTTCTCAATGAATAAATACATGATCAGCCTAAATCTACTTGTCATCTTATTTCATATCAAGTGTTTTTTTTTTTGGTAGTCAGCTCTTAAAACATAGCCTTTACTGAGATAAGTTTTTTCCCAAGAAAAAGTAAAGTTTTATAAGTGCAATTTTTACATCCCTTTATCCTATTCACCTAATTCTTGCATTATTAATAAATGATGAAATTGCTCAGAGATAAGCACGAAGAGCAGAAAAAATATATATGAAAAAATCCACAAACCATAGTTGCCTCTTTTGAGTAGTGAAGTAAGACCTAATTAAGTCAGAGAAGACCAGTAAACCATGGGCAAACATAGATTATTTCTTTTAATTGCCATTTCATTTTAAATTACTATTAATTATGTAAAGGAATTAGCATGGAAAACTTTAAAAATGCAACTTTTGTAAAGAAACTATATTAGGATAAAGAAAAATGAATATTTCTTTAATCTCTAGGTGATTATAAGTTACCAATACAGCACTGACAAAGAAATGATTTCTGAATGTATGATGCAGTTGGGAATCTAAATGCAAAGCTACTGGAATGTTCTTGATTAGAAGGTAAGAGGATTAGAGACATGTAAATAACTCAAGTCTCAATAGTTGCACACTGAGATTATTGCTTACAATGAAGATGTGTAGCCACTCGGGGGAGTATTCTCTATTCCTGTTTCTTTCCATGTTGGATTTTCTTTCTTTCATTTATAAAAATCCTAGCACCTGAATCTGAAAGTCCATCCTAGCAGGGGAACTGAGATACTGATGCACATTCTATTGTAAACCTGATGAGTTTAGGAGCTGAGAGAAATTACTTTAAGCTATTGGAGGCTGGGGGTGGGACTTTCCCCAGCACCTGTTTAGGCCTGTCCCTTTCACTCATTCACAGGTATTTCTGTGGTGCTGATGGCTGGAATAGTATGCTTTTCCCTTTGTGGAGTTTCCATCGAGGTGTCAGGCATCAAGCAGTTAACCACAGCACGACAAGCACCATGAAGGAAAATACTAGGCATCACAGAACAGTACTGAGGACATCACAGAAAAAAATTATTTTATTTTAGGAGAACAAGGAAAACCTCTCTGAAAATATTTCTGCTAAGATGAAAAGGTAGATAGGAGTTAATCAGACAACAAGTTAGGCAGAGAACATTCCAGGCCAAAGAAACATGACAGAAGGTATTTGGCACTGTCCAGGCACTGAAGAAAGAAATGAGAACCACGTGGAATGAAGGGGAGAGCAGGGGCCTCAGCACACAGCGGATAAGTGGGCTATGGGTGGGTTATGTATGTCCCTGTAAGTCCTTTTGAGGATCCTGTGTTTCCATTTGAATGCTAAAGAGGCAGAGAAGTGGCATATGATGTGCCCTAACATTTTATAAGGGCACCTAACTGTCTGTCCTGAGGCAAGTGGCATATAGGAAAAGAAAGAGTGAAGACAGAACCCAAGCAGGGGGCTGTGACAATACTTCAGGCAGCAGAAAATGATGGCTTGGACTAGGGAGACGGCTGTGGACACAGGAAGAAGGGGTAGACTGCACATTTGTTTTCACTTTAGGATCAATGGGACTCGACTTCAACATTGAGGATGAAGAAAAAAATTTCCGCTGGTGTCGACCTACTGACCTACCGTGGATATAGTGGAGATTTGTTTTGGTTTTTGTTTTGCTTCCAAGCACCTGATTTCCTTCCTATTTGGGCACTCACATTTTGCATTCTTTAGTGAGAAGCAAGTCCCCACCTACCACTGTGCAGGAAGCCTAAGGGTGCCAGACATCTCTTTCCCCACATGCTATCATCCACAGCAAGGTCGCACAACCTACGCACAGCCAACCTTCTTGACAAGGGACTCAAGTGTGGAGACAATGACTCGAAGCCAAAGGAATCACTGGAAATAATGAATGACATCTGCAGAGCCTGAGTCTCACAGCAAGGGCGGCACTTGAGGCAATATGTTAAGCACCAGCTCCCTCTGGCATGACCTCGGCGGCGTTCTCAGAGACCCAGCTACACCTGGCTTCTGCCTGTGTTCCAGGCCAGGTTCCCCAACCTTCTTGTTGATTCCATAAGCTGCTCAACGTCCTTCCAGTAAATTCCTCTTCTACTTTAGAGTTGTTTTCTGTTTAACCAAAAATACAGAAAGATACAATGGGACTGTGGAAGGGGTTCACCAACATGGAAAAGAAGCAAAAGCCTCTGGAAGTGAGACCTCACCTCCAAAGAAGCCACTGCCCTGGGCCCCACAGTTCAGAGAGCTCTGTATAACACAAACACACACATCAAGTTTATCAAAGGCCATGTGGGCACCTCTGCCACTTGGGCTTTCATGCTCAGTGTGTATGGCTTGGCCACCACCAAAACATTAAGACAACCAGCTCCTCTCGGCTTCCTACAAGTGCGTCCCTAGGCTCTGTGTCCTCAAAACAAAAAGCAAGCACAAACCGGCTGCCATGAAGTTTTCTGGGTGGTGTCCACCACAGACACAAAGACAGCTTCAGAATGCAGGAAGGGGCTGAGCAGCATAAGCACTTAACAGAGAGAGAAAACAAATTAATTAACTTCTCAAATCCTTTCCACTTGGCATTAATGTGATAGATTCTTGCATAACGAAATATCATTTCCCAGTTGTGCCAAGTGTCCAATTTTGTGTTCTAATTCATGGTCCTGGAGCTACTCACTGTGTTAAAGCAATTTGATTTAATTTAGACAAGACAGATGAGATGCCTTGGAAGAGTTAAGTGAAAACAATGGAAGATTCTCAAATGTGAGTGAATTGTGGTCCTTAGTGGAAAATGAAATTACTTTAGTATTTGCACCATCCACATTATATGGAGTGAACTTTATGAAAGAAAAGCAGAGTTTTAAGTTTGTTTCACCTTTTAAAAGATTATTTTTTAACTGTTAAAGGAAAAAACGCATTTGCATGACTGTAACGAAGATTTAGATATAATCTTCCCCAAATTGTCTTGAATTACTATAGAGACTATATTTTGGCCATTAACATTAAGAGGCATTTTGGAGGAGAAAGATTTTAACAAATAGAATAACATGCTGCTGTTGATGATGATGATTTTCTTTTTTCTTTCTTTCTTTTTTTTTTTTTGGTATGGGGGATTGAATTCAGGGGCCCTTAACCACTGAGCCATGTCCGCACCCCTTTTCATATTTTATTTTGAGACAGGGTCTTGCTAAGTTGCTTAGGGCCTCGTTTAGTTGCCTACACTGGCTTTGAACTTGCGCTTCTCCTGCCTCAGCCTCCTGAGCCACCACCATGCCCAGCTGTTGATTTTCTTCTTAGTTTCTAGCACTGGAGATTTGAAAGGAAAATACTCTATGGATCTTGATATTGCTTTAAGAAACAGTAAAATTCATTATATTAGTGACATCAACTTATATAATGACATTAAAATATTTTGTTCTATTTTCTGTGACAGTAACTGGTCACATACACCCTCACCCTATTAAAATGTCTATGCATTGCTACGGTTTGAATATGATTTCAGTGTATCCCCCAAGAGCTCCTGTGCTGGAAACTTGATCTTCAGTGCAGAATTGTAAGAGGAATCTTTAAAAAGTGGGGCCACTACTGGAAGGTGATTGGGACATTGGGGCATTGGCCCAGCACAAAGAAGGGATTAATGTAGTTCTACAAGACCCCAGTTAGGCCTCTCAAAAGTAAGTTGTTTTAGAAAAGATTGGCCCCTCCCTGGTCTCAGGCTTCCTGTCTCACCATTGTAATTTCTCTCTTGCACACACTTCCACTGTGATGTCACCCACTGTGTTGTGATGTAGTCTGGGGGGGATCCTCACTGAGCTGGGCAGAAGTCAGAGCCAGATCCTTGGAGCTCCAAAAGCTATGAGCCAAAATAAACCTCTTTTCTTTAACAAAGTACTCAGTCTCAGATATTTCATTATAGCAATGGAGAATGGACTTATACAAGCAGGATATATCAAATCCATGGTTCATTTATGATCTAAATATTGCACTAATAATGAAGTTAACAATTTCAGTTGCTATGATCTCAGCAAAACATAGTTCCTCCATTTCAAAATTAATGATAAACACCCTAAGAACTACAATGTCCCCAGAAAAGTTGTCTAATCTGTCATTACTCTCAATAGAACACAAATTATGTGAAAGTCTTGATTATAACAACATAATTAGTAATTTACTTAGGAGAAGGCAAGAAAATTAACTTTCATGAAATAAATATAATTTATGAATTATGCATGACTTTATGACTTATCCAACTCATCAAAAGAGCATCCAAACATAATAATAGTTATAGCCAGTCATCTTCAATATTTTACCATGAATAGCACATGTTCTCATACATATTTTTTATTTTGTCACAATTTAAAAGTATATTTAATAGAGGAGAACAGAACATATGTTTAACCATTTATTAATTGGTATGTAACATTTGACTATTTGGACATACAGATGAGCCTCCGTTGGGATTCTTACTACAGTTATTAGAACCCAGCCTGGTGAGGAGGCCAGAAAAGAGGCCAGAGGTTGGAAGGGTCACTCATACGGATGTGAAGTTTCCTCAGGAGAATGCTGGTAGGAGTTGGAGGGGAGATCAAGGTATACCAGAAATGAAGGTGAAGGGGTAACAGTGACCAGGGGACAGAAGAGAGGCACTCTGAGGAGGTGGTGGGCGCCTCTGTGGAGCTCACCAGGGCAAGAGAAGGAATGGGATGGAAACAGCTGTGGGAAAAGGAAGACACCATCACCTCCTCCCTATGGGGGGATACTGGGTGTGAGAACTAGGCGTCCCCTCAGAGGACACAGGACGCCGTGCTCAGAGGGAGCTGAACTCAGGTGAAGGCAGGGAGTATTTGAAGGAAAAGGTACATAAAGAATAACCCGATCATGGAGCAAGAGTTCTAGAAGGCAGGGAAGGATGGGATTGTGCAGGGTCCGAGGATTACAGAGAAGTTTAGAGGCAAGAATTTGGAATCCAGTGCATTCAACCCCAATGGAGTCTGAGAGGAACAGGGAACCTGGGCCTCATATAGTTCAGCTGTGGCCTGCAAGGGACACCCTGCCTGGAGTCGAAAGGCAGCACTGGCCCTCTGCCACCACCCAGCACTGGCAGGTACCATGGCATATCTGGGGTTGGCAGCAGTGAGCACAAGACACCTGGTTTTTCATGGCCAGTCAATCTGAACAATTCTCACTGGCATTCCAGGTGCCTGGACCAAGATACTTCATGAGCTTGGCACCAACAACCTCTCTCCATGGATTAACCCTGGGTAGAGGCCCAGGTGCCTTTTAAGGCCACGCTGATTATCCAGGAACTGATACCAGTGATTTTTTTTTAATTGTTGATGAACCTTTTATTTTATTTATTTGTATGTGGTGCTGAGAATTGAACTCAGTGCCTCACACATGCTAGGCAAGCACTCTACCACTGAGCCACAGCCCCAGCACCCAGTGATCTTTTAAAAAACTATAAAGGTAATCCAGTGTAGACACAAGTAGAAACCACTAGGAGTGAGGCAAGCAGGATTGTGACCTCTATCTGTCATTCGCTGGACTTGAGTCAGTGGTCACTCAT